TCATGCATACATCGACTTGACGTTGTGGGGTCTCTGTGCCTGTGTAGAAAAGGTGTTGCGTCGCATCAGTGCAGCAAACAGTCCTTCAATCTCCACTGTGACGAGCTGCCTGCGTGACAGTAAGGCACTACTTCTCGACGAGCTGACGCAGTACCATTCCATGCATCTGACTGACCAACAGATCGCAATAGCAGAAGGTACCGCTAAGAGCGTGTGTATGTTGAATGTATTGCATCGCAGTGAGCACATGGGCGTTCGCTTGTAAGAACGCAATATGAGAAGGTTCATGTATATCGATCGAGACAGAGTGCTTGTCCGTGTGTAGCGTTGAACGTCGTATGACTTTGTGTGAGTAGTTCCAATGGCTGACAGCAAAGCGGTCTCGTTGTAGCACAACTTGTGTCAGCTAGTGTGCTCGTTGAGCCAGGAAAATGTCTATCGTCTCCCTAGTCGAGGACGGGATCGCACGTAAGTGCTTACGACATGTGAAATGGGCCGTACACGACGGACTTTGTACGCCACCCCAGTGCGGCAACGAGGTAGATCCCATCCGAGTGAATTCTGCACGATACACTAAGTTTTGACAGGACCTGCTTGCCCCAACAAGAGGTAGATAGATGACACGCTCTGAGGCTATACCATCGACTTTCTCTCACGATCCGTAGTGCCTCTTTCCACCTCGTTATGTCCTCGAGCAGTCAGTCGCTCGACAGTCGCATCGTTCAATCGGGGCAAGTTGCTCCATGCAGACTTCGCCACAGCTTGCAATAACTATGACGTTCATCCATTTTCCATGGCGTGACTTGCTGTCTGCCAGCCGTACGTGACCAAACACATTAGGAAAAGGCTTGGGATGGAATGGCAAAGACAATGAACTGCATTGTCGCATGACGCACAAGAACGTTAGTGTCCAAGCACCTACGAAGTTCGTCAGCCTCTTGTATCACTGTGACTACATGTCTGTGACACCCGCTTATCTCCTTCCACTCACTGATTTGGCAATTCGTAGTGGTGTTGTTCGAGATCTGAGAACGACAAAAGACTCACAGCGAAGCTAGCGGGCTCTGTCCAAACAAGTGCAAGTGCTCAGTCAAGTGCGAGATGCTCAAGGAGAACCATCCAGCACGACGGACAAACGGACGAAAGATTCGGCACTACGAGTACGTCGATGCTGATGCTCGAAACGAGCAGTGCACCGAGATCACTATCGCCCACAGTCCGAACGGGCATTGGTCGGACTCGAGATCGTCAATGGCGATGTCGACGAGATCTCCTGGCTCAGCCTCGACTTCAATGTGATTTTAAAGACGCTCCCTAGTGACGTTGCAATCTGCCATCAGACATATACATCTCCGTCGCTTTCTTTGTCACACAGGTCCCAAACGAAGTACCTATGTGTCGCTCATTGACGACACCGTACGCTATAATGATACAGCGCGTCCTACTGCACCGAGGACCGCGAGATAGAGTTGTAGACGCTGGTGTTGACGATATCGAACGCGCTCGTCATGTGAAGGACACAGACGCTTGCTCAGCAATGCTACAGAGGTTGTGATCAAGCAAAGAAAGCTTAGCACAACCAAATTTGCGACTTTGTCGATGACAACTATCACCTTTGCAGACCACGTGAGCACACCGATTTTGGACGAAGTCCGTCAGAAAGAAAGCCGACGCACGCAACTGATCAAGCAGCTTCAAGTCTTACCAGAGAGGGCAATGAGAAGCATCAGATTAGAGGAGCTATCGCAACGGGCGCAAATCTGCGACGAGTGTGTCACGCCAAGCAGCTCAAGATCAGTACAACGCTGCTTGTAGCACCGCTAGCTGTTGAGAGTGAGTGATGATTGACATGATTGATGCAGTAGCTTACATGTGCGAGTAGCATGAGGCAGTCAGCAAGGACGCTGAGGTGCAAACGGCTCGGTAGTTTGGTTGCCAAGACTAGCGTAGACCTGAAGCATATTGGTTGTGTTACGGTGTCTCTAGCAGTTTGAAAAGGCCTCTGTGGATCTTGACCAAAGGATACGTGATGCGTTGTATGCTGAGAAATTGGGCAAGAGTTCTCTTGTCTTACTGACTGCAGTCACGTCGGGCGGAATGACTCTGACAATCCACAGCACAATGGAATTTGTATCCAGCGTAAATCAGGTGATGTCCGACGGATGCAAGAGGAGAAAGCTATTGTGTTGGAATGTGGACCAGGCGAGGAGTGCCATGCGCCTGGTGAAGATGTTGCACGACGGCATCGAAGTACCGATGACGTTTCGATTAGTTCTGCGAATGCAGACGATGACCATATGCAAAACAGCTCTCATGACGCTAAGATTGATAGCGTGTGACATATGCGCAACCAAAAACCAGTCTTGCAAGCCTTAGACCCTTCCACATGTAGAGCTGAAACAAAGGAGAACGCACAAAAGGAAAGTGTTCTAGTGCTCGGTCGTACTGGAAATGAATACACACGCTTCTTTGTCGAGCTATAAGTACGCTCTCTATCGAACGAAAGGTCGATATGGCCGATTGGTTCAATGGGTAAAAAGAGTCAAACATTCAGGCATGTAAAATGCTCCTACAAGGCACTTGAACAAATGCAACAATAACGACTGAGCATCCTTTGTAGTGACAACGGTAGTGAATACTGGCACATGTCGATGGAGGCTTAATCGCCATCAAGTTCATCGTCAACGAGTTAAGGGCATCGCGCGATAGGAAGCACATAGGATGATGGACCAAGCGAACAAGCTGAACGACTTTCCAAATAACCCACCGCGTGCTGAGGAAGTGTGGGCTGGACAAGTAGTTTCGTTGCGAAGTCATAATGGTGATACGTCGCAATTCGAAACGACCTGGCAATTGCTTGTCAATCGGATGTAAGTCGATTCGAAATGGTATGCAAGCAGAATACACTTTCTTGAGGTCCGGTACACTCATTCAGCTGATGTGCAACGACCAGCAACCGTCCTCTTCGACATAGGCCTACCCATTCCTCTATGGCTGGCCAGCTAAATACGAGTGCAGAGGAGGTTGAACCCGCAGTCGCGGCACGGCAACGGTTGGTGCTCACCCAATGCATTGGAAGATATCCAGAGGCATAGTACAAATCAGACAGTCTATTTCTTCTTTATTAGCACTCAAGGGCACGATCAGCTCGCATCATACACGAGTCGCACGAATGGGCAGCAGATAGTGCTGAGAGTAAAACACCTTTTGAAAAACTTTTGCTCTACTGGCTCCACAGGTGAACTGACTTTGTACGATCTTTACCCCACCAGTATCGGACCTCGCCTAAGTAATCTACAGCCGTAGAACTTGACTACCTAGTATCGAAACACGAACCTACATCCACTTGGTAGCTGCAAGACGTCAGCGTCATGATCTGTGCATTAAGTAGAGCACCAAACGGTAGGACTACCAACCCAAAGCTTATCGGACATGTCGTTTCGTCGGTATATTGAAACCTTGCTACTAAGTCTCATCGCGCTCAGGATTCGACTAGCCTTATTTCAGCATTGGTGAACATAGTACACAGCGATGGTACCAATCGACGTGAAACGTGAACTGTCAGACTTCCGTCCAGCGGACGTATGTACATCGATGTGCACAAAGGCCGTTATAAATATATTCGCATGCGTCATGTGGCAAATGCAACATCTATTTTGTTTGCACATCATCAAGAAGTTGCTACCAAGTTGAGACTTGCGACGAAGTTCCCATCTCATATACTTACACCAGGCTTTTGTATGATCGTGAGGATTTCATACGCGTTTTGAAGACATACATTATCTTACACGTGTGAGCTGATGGTAAATGCCATGCTGCAACAACAACCGAATACCTTGTAAGCGCCGATGGACATTCGACGTCCGATTGTGGATGCGTGAAGTTATACGATCGGTTGCGTTCGTCCAGTTTGGTAGCATGTAACATTGGAATGGCGTTTGGATAACGACATAGTATCACCAAGAATGCCAATCAACTTTCATATCCACTCATGAAAGAAACTGCTGTGGGTGCGTTTAGAAAGTATCATAATTATCCGTATGATCATCTTTCTTGTGATCGTCAAGAGGTCCCAGCTGAACAACGGTTTGTCAGGCAGAACAGGAAACTTACTTCAAATTGCAAGGATCACTCTGACATTGGATCCCTTCGCACGAATGCACTGCCAAAGACGGCATGATCGTTTACTTTTTGTTCTGTACAGTACAGTCACGGCTTGAAACCGCATGCACAATATGCTGGTGAACACATAATTGTTGAGACGTCAATTGCAGCGGACGTGAGCGATCACTTCACCTCAACATCAGATACAGCTGATGTCAGTAATAACTGACATTCGGTACAGCTGACATCAGAGTGTATCCTGCTGGGAATAACGTCAGCGTGGATTCTGTCCCCATCCCGTCATCGTCGACCACGATTTGCGAGCGCTGTTCAAGAGCAATTGGGTAAGCTGCTACCACATGTTGCGTCACAAGATCCTTGTGTGCGTAAATCACACAGCGGATGTGCCTCTGCACGTCTGCACCCAATCGTGAAACATGACGATGGACAATTGCATCAGGTTTTATCTGCTTTCGACGATCGACGTATAACGCTTTGAGAAGAACAGATAGTCGCATGTTCGTGTGCAAAGCTCAGGTCTTACACAGACGCTCCATCGGTGCAAATCAGTAACACCAAACAACGCTACTGCATAAACTGCTTATTGTGATCCGCCCGAGATAGAACGTCGCTTTGGCGTGATGGCAGTTGGCATCATCACATGTCTTCTTCTTCGACTGAGAACAATCACACTATCTATCGATAGCAGCGTGAAAACCGGCACAAGAAGGACCGATCACCAATAAGCCAACCAAAAAGCCATCGTCGACAAGCGGCATTTCCAATCAAAAGGAGCCGGAAGGTCGTGTTTCGGGCCCGGTCAATCGAGAGATTCCGCATGCCCCACACGTCGAGCTCCGTCTTCACCTTCACCGACGGCACCCCAACCCCAGCATTCACACCTTGTCCAAAAGGCGATTGAATCCGCCACGACGGTTCATGTACTGGCGGTACTCGCGCTTGGTCTCCCGTCGAGCAGTACCCACGGCCGCGCTTTTTTGGTTTTCTTCCACAACTTTGCCCTTGGTCGAGTCAAAGTCGCCAAAGCCCAGCAACAACTTCATCTGATCCTCTTCGCTCAAGTGCGACATAGTGTTTGTCTCTGGTCTTAGCGGTACGTCGACTTTGTCGACCGTGGAATGCGTCGTCGTCGTGGTTGTTGGTGTCCTATCATGTATAACAAATCACAACACGGAAAAGCACTTTTTAGTATCCCGTGCGGTTCAACGACAGAAAACCCCCGCGGTCGACCACTCGACCTCTCATTAGTTATATTCGCGCGCCCCATCGGCGAGCGGGGCGTCGCGGGACGTCTTGTCGAGCGAGAAACAGGCGACCGACTGCGACTGTACGAGCGTCGAGCGCGACGAGGACGACGACGTGGGGACTCGACGCTGCGGCTCCTACTTCTACTGCGACTGCAACTATTGCGGCGGCGCTTGTAGCCGGTAGAAGACGATCGGGAGCGCGAACAGGGGGTTACGAGACGGCGAGTCGCGGCGACGACGAGGACGACGTCGGCGGCCTAAGCTGTCCAAGGAGCCGCTGCGGCTTCGGCTGCGGGGCATGTTGGATGACTAGTTGGGGGGAGAGGAGGCGGGTGTGGATTCTAAAGAGCAATACGATGCGGACACGGGCGTTGTAGAGGGTGCTGTGATCGATTTGGTGTTTTATGCTTAAGTAGAGGTGGAGCGAGAAGTGACTGGCTTGTCGTATTGGTCAAGATGAAGGTATGTTGTTGAGACGGGAGCGATGGCACTGAAGTAGCTTGTACCCCTCTGCTTCTATGACATTGCGTCATCTGTTGGCGTGACGATGACAATTGAGAAAGTCTTATCGTGGCGGCCATAAGCTTGTTTCATATGATATGGACATTGTCAGATATGTCAATGTGCATATGGTCATAGCGTCGACTGGACGAAGATCTTGCTTTCGACGGTATATATCGGCAGCTGCTGACAACATGTACACCTGCGCCTAAGCAGCTAATGGTATAAGCTGTCCATATTGACAATTAGCGACAAACGCGCGCAGTAGGTGAATGGCTATATGCATCAAATCGGCATATAACAACACAGTCTTTGCCTACAACCATATCCAGCTGTATGCTGGGCATGAATGTCTTGTAATGCCACTCCCTTGGTTCTGATCCCGTCGAGCAGCAATGCGGACCAGCACGAGCTGGCTACAAGCCACTTTGTACAACGTAGCTGATAGAGAACAGTCACGATGACTGTACGTGCGTATTGGCCTCAACAATGATGACTGCATCATATCCAGCAAAGTCCAAGACCTCTTTTTCAAACAAAAGTTCAGCATACCTGCGGGATTCTTCATCGTTTTTTACGTCAGGCACTCTCAGACGCCAACGATCAATTGCCAACGACCAGGACTTGCAAGAGATCCTAACCCAGCTATTTCGTTGCGTACACGTGCATGTGTGACCATAATCTGAGGAGAACTCTGCTCTGCCCCCGATCAAAGCGCTTTGTCGATGATGTCGATCAGGAGCTGTACTGCGTGCTCAGCAGACGCAATCACGAGCGCGACGATACGAGCAGATCGTCTTTTTGGATCCGCTCTCCGTCTGCAGTGTACAGCTTTGTCGCAAGGATACGACCGAGACAATTCGCTGGTCCATTCGTTATGATCCATCGAGGTCGAGAAACTGGACATGGATGGTTTCGAGTAGGACACAGACGTGCTTCATCGGACACAATCGCAAGTGAATGGTCAATCGAAAGCATCGGTCAACGTCGTCCAACCGGGCGGGGAAGAGTGGCGAGGGTGCCGTGACTATGACTATCGATCCTGATCGCTCAATCGTCTTGGACTAATAGGGGTTGTGACTTGACATGTGTCCATTCTTTTGGAGGAAAACCCATGTGAGCACGGACACTTTCTCAACTGCACTCAGTTCTCTGCTAAAGCGCAGAATACGATTGACGCCAGAGCTTCTCATATGTTACGGATGCACATGTTTGACAGTTTAGCAGCAGCGCTACGACAACCGTTGCCGTCATCACATCGGTATCGGTAGAGTCGAAGGGTGACCAGCTCTCATCATGGGACGAAATGTTAGTATCGTGGACGCAGCGATCCTTCGGCACGGTGTTGCGCAACGACTCGTTCACTTTTGTCTGTGCTTTATGAGGATTCTGCCTTGCTAGACTGTGGGTCATCTTCCGGCGTGGGAGAAACATGACGCATACAATCGTCTTCACTATGCAGTAGTAACATGCTATGACATGCACAGATAGCGGTAAGTGATACTTTTGTGACTCTAGCAGCAAACCCTCAGAAACGAGTGACGCGTACTTGCCGCGCCGTCCGTAATGAAAGTGCCGCCTACGACGCTGTACCAAACACGCGCTGACAAGACGACACAATAGCGGGATACGACCCATACCGATCATCTCGCAGCACGTCTTTCGGCACCAATTGTTGCTCTCTCCCTGTCGTGCGCACGACGCCACAGTAGTTGAGTGATTTGCATTCAGTAAACTCCTTTCTCCACATCGTAGCATCGAGAAGACGTCATGAAAACGTTGAGCTTGTCTCGACCACAGAAGAATCGACAAGAAATGGACGTCAGGTTTGAGGAGGAGGACGCAGCGGTAGTGCTCTTGAGTGTCTGTCAACAATCGCTTGCAGATTTGTCGACGTTGACGAGGCAGCATAGTATCATTCCGCTGCTCGTTGCTACACTAGCGCGCGGAGCACGTTAGGCCGACGATATGACGGGTCTACGTCGGTCTGCGAGTGCATGCAGTCGCCCGCGTGTCGAAAGGCAGGAAGGACGTGCGTAGGACACGGACTCAATGACGAGACAGTGTATGTTCAAGTTGAGCGGCCGATCTTTATAAGCCCTTGAACAGCTTTTTTGTCGACAACACTTTGTTTCTTGCCTACCACGCGATCGCTTGGCTAGACAGTGTGCCCGGCGTGCTGCGTTTATCCACTATGCCTGACTGACGCCAGAGCCTGACAACGCCATCCACCACTTTCCAGCTCCTCCAACTGTAGGTGGAAAGACTCTCGCAGGTAGTGATCATCGATCTTAGGCGCAAAGCAGTGCTGATGTGTCAGTCCAACGACGTCCACCTATTAGTGGCCATGTGCGTTTGCGTTGTCTCGGAAGGCCGGTGGACGTCAGCCGTGCGGGGTCATGTATCGCTTACATGCTGAAGGTCGCAAGCTATGCCCAGTTCCATGGCAGCTGCTGCAAGAGATACGTGGCTTCCCGTTAAACCCCGCGAGCACGGCTGTCCATCGAGGTCAACTGCCCACATAAGGTGCAAAACTCGAGGCAAACGCACAATCTCACACGGGTCACTCACGTGCGTTCAGGAGCAGTCTCCCTCCCCCATTCGTGAGAGAAACAAACACGTGCACGCCATTGGAATTGATGGACAGCACGCCGTGTTAACAGAGAGTGTGAACGTTCGTCAACACTTGCGCGCGTGAACACCGCATTGGGAGGCAGTCTAAGATCATAAACGAGATCTTAGACAACGCCCAGTGTGGCCAAGGAGTGGCACAACGAGGCAAGGAGCGCTGGTCCACGCAGCTGGCTCGACCATCAGTCCATGCCCTGTGTCGGAGCGGCTCTTTTGACCGACTGTGAACTAGTACCGATAGCAACGTCGAAGGCTCTGCGGGTCGCCGAGACACATCGTGAAGTCTGGAGTGGACAGGCGATTCGCAAACACACTCGACGGCCGGTCTGATTCACGAGGGCTTCTGTAGCGGCAGGATCGCCCCTCCGAGGCGTGGCATCCTCCCGTCGGACTGTTTCAACACCGAGGCAGATTGATACGCTGCAGCAATGTCTTGACGTTGTTCGTCTTGACAAGAGACAAGAGCGTCGTAGCTTTGGTGCACGAGGTGTCGCTCCCCGGCTTTGACGCGACGATCGGCAACGCACATCGTGCTCGCCCATCTGGCATTGTCCCACTGAAAGTGGCGATGGGCGACCAGGACAAGTCGTGTAGCATACTGTTGTCAGGTCGCCAAGCTCTTCGACATGTGCAGCTTTTCGCAGCGTCTATGAGAATCGAAAGACCCGATCCGAGTGGTTTGTTGTGCTTTCGTATTGGGAATCCATTGCCCAGCGCGGCGCTTGTAGTCGACATGAGCGAGTCCGTCGTTTGTTTCGATAGGCCCTTCCTTGATCGCGACAGTACCAGTTCAGTTTGTTCCTGCGCTTCTCGAGGACATCGCATATCTCCACGTGGTGCGTGCCGACAAACCCCTTTGCCCGCTTCTCGACATCTTCATGAGAGGTGCGCGACGCCCGCGCGACAATCACAGAGACGTGATGTCTCTCGGACGTCATTTGTATAGTCAACGACACCTTGTACAGCACCTACACACTCGCCGTTCGCAGAGCTTTCCCCATTTGATGTTATCATTGCTGCGTTTTCGGACAGGTAAGCAGGCGTCATTGCTGGCTCGTACTCAACGCCTCGCAGCTGGCGTCCACGTGGCTGGCTGGATCGTACTGCACACCCATCTATCGAACATATCGCTGCCGGAGCAGTTCGCCAAGTCGGAAGAGGCCAGCAAAAAACTAGCTGCTTTGGCCTACTTGTTAGTCACGGTAGCTGCTTATGGTAGTAACATCGTCCACCCGCCAAGTACTGCGAGAATCCTGCGGCATGTCAGCACGAGCTCAGCGCTTGGACAGCTTGTGCGTCTCTCGCCATTACAACGACACTGCCGTTTCCACAACGGCGCGACACGCTTGGAACTGGTAGTAGGCGCTTCTGCAAACGGCACGACGATCCTGGATGTCGTCGTCGTCGTCGGGCTTCAAAATTTCACGGACGGAAGGACTGTGCGATAGGATGTTCTGGTCGTGGCACGAAACGATGGCCAGCACCGCATATCGAGCTGCAAACCACGATGCCGCGCGGTGCTTGCCACGAAGCGAACATGCTTCGCTGCACATCGACAGCTTCGTGCTCTACGACACTTCGAGCACCTTCAAGTTGGATCGCATAACAAGGACGAGAGCAATCTCTCTGATGCACGACATGCCCAGTCGGCTGCTCCGAATGTTCTAGTAGGCTGCGCTGATCCGGCGCCTGCACATCGTCGGGCTTGGTGGTGCTCCCCTTTTCCTATGCTTGGCACACATCCCCACTGAGTCGTGCGCTGCTTGTGGTTTCCGCTGCGTGTAACGTGTATGCTCCGAGCAGGGCGGAGACTGTCTTGCCAAGCAAACTAGCGATGTAATCTCTTGTCGCAGGTAAACACAAATCCCCACCCCACCGACTCGAGCGCTGGTCGCAGTTTCCACTGCGTGTAACGTGTGCGTTCCGAGCAGGATGGACATTTTATTGCCGCGCAAAGCAGCGATGTAAGCTCTTGTCGAACTCGGATGACTGCACTCTCTCCTCAGCGGCGGCATATTGAAAGGCTCACGGGATTGTCAAAGGACTTATCCAACCAAGTAAACGAACCACGCGTGGTGTTGTCCTACTGGCCACGACGTGGCAAGAAAACGGTCACGTTGTGCTATCTTCGTCCATCCACTTGCACTATCAAGTTCTTTGGCTATACTCATCTCTGAATACCCGCGTTGTACGTGCTGCCGCTCCGGCGGTACGCATGTCCTTAGTCTACTTGGTCGCGCCAGCGGTCATGATTGACTCGTAGTTGGCTTCGGTAGGAGGGTCTCTGACCTCGTTGCCGTCGCCCCTGGCTCTACGGAGCCCTTTAGTTGTCGACCCGATACCCGGGCCGTACTTCTTGTCACACTTATCAGTCGTTAGTTATCATAATAATGGACGTTCTTGACACCACCACTATACTCATCTCTGATCCGCGCTGTGTTCAAGTCGAGCTGCGTTTTTGCTCGTCCAGCCCGCTCACCTCTGCACTTCGTGCCCTGAAAGCACCGCTAGATACTGTTTCTAGCGCCGTTCACCCCACGCCATTAGCAATCGCATAGCAACTAGACTACCAGCTGCATGTAGCAATACTGCCACAGTGCGCGTACCCAGTGTATTGAGTCCATCACGTCATATCACGACAGCCTCTTCGCAGGCACGGCACAAAGAGATGGCCTCTGCGATACAAGCCAGTTAAAGCGTCTATGAGACACACAACGCTTGCTTGGTCTATATCGTGGCAACCATCTCTTACGTGTCGTCAAAGGCTTTCGGGATTCTTGTGGGCTCCACGGCACGTTACAAGGGAGATGGCCATCTTCTGATGCGCTACTTCCGGTGTGTCTCGGACAGAGGAAGGGCAGGAACAGAGGCTCATGGTTTGGTGCCCCCTCCAATTCGTGGCCCTCCGTTAGGTTGTAACCTTTGGCGAGTTGATATCTGGAACGTCCATCGAGTGTCCTATCGTCAATAAACTATTCGTTCCAGCCCAATGATGGGATCGAACTTCATGGATGGAGCTTTTTAGCATGAATCACGATGCGTTATAATACAATATGCATAAAGCGCTCTGTCTTGACTGATGAGGTATGTTTTGCTGGTAAGAAGCCTCTTTGAACCACAAGTTAAGTAGACTGTGTGCTGCGTGGTGCGAATATCGAGCCGAAAGTCGCGCAGAACGCTACTAGCAGTCTAGGGGCCTTCCCATGATCCATTGATCGAGGCGCGCAGGCACCACGCAAGACGTAGATCTTCTGGTCCTGATGAACCTTTTCGTACGGAGCACCTCGTACCAAATTGATGCAATGTGCTTTTCGTGCCCCTCTGCTCTTTCCAACCGCTTCTCGCATCTCAGCATCTTCCGTCGGCTTCGTCTATACAGTCTCGTTCCCTTCGTTGTGATCAAGAAGCTTTAGCCCAAATTCCACAAGCTTTTCTTAGTCCACACACCTACAAGCATCCGCTATACCTGCGACGCTGCTCAAATCTCGGTCCATCGATCCTACAACTTATGGAAGGGAGCGCTCGAGCGCTCGTTCAGCTTCATACGCCGAGGAGCGTCGTCTCGGATTGTTAGTCACTTGATCTGCGACACAAAGAGCGTCGAGTCGGAATCGTTCAGTTAACAGGCCGAGACTGTAAACACTTTGGAATCCGCCGCGAGCAACCAGCCAGCGGCCTCGTGGAGAAAAAACCCGACCCCATGAAGTTCACCTTACCAAAAGATACGCTCAATGCGGTCAAGTTGTCCCACGCGTCGCAACAGGCGCTCGTCGAGGAAGCTGCTTCCGTCGCAAGTGAAATGCTGGCAGCAAACGAGCTGTTTCTTGCCGAGAAGGCATCGACGCTCGATCCGCAGCACTGGAAACACGTTCGGACGAAAGACGGCGTGCACGCGTTTCGGCAACGGCAAAAGTCCGTCAACCAACAACAGGCGACCGAGGACAGTACGTGTTCGCCTTTGCTTCAGAGCCCCATGTGGGGTGGTCGCGAGCGACACGTCATGTCACGGTACCGCACCGCGAGCGAGACGGACTCAGAAGTCGGATCGGATCGACAAGTGTCGGCGTTCACGCCGTCGGGCATTGTCGAAGACAGTGTCATGGAAAAGATGCGACCATCGGGCGTTCCCATGATCGCACTGCATGGCACGATCGACGGATCGCTCGACGACTGCCTGTTTGGGTGCTTTGCACCGACCGACGCCGACTGGAAGCTGCGGTGCGTCCATAATAACGAACGGCTCAGTGACACCCGCGTGTTGGCCGTGGTCCAGAAACCAACGGCCGACAACCCGTTCCAGTCTCTGAGTGTCAAGTGGTTCACCAAGGAACACCCGGTCGTGCTCTCGGGCGTCGTCCAGCAACGGGACTTTCTCATTATCGAAGCAATGGGCTTCACGCGCGACCCGCGGGGCGAACAAGTCGGCTACTTTCTCCTCCACTCTGTTGCATTGCGCAGTGTGCCAGAATTGACCCACCTCGGCATCGTACGGGGCGTCATGAGCTTTTGCCACATCTTTCGTCAAGGCGGACTCGGTCAAGTCGACGTCTTTAGTCGCGGCTTCTTTGACTGCCGCGGGGCACTGCCCGGTCGCGTCTCGATCTCCCTCCTGGCCGAAGCGGCCCTAAGCTGTACAAACGTAGTCGACCTCGCCTACATGAAGAAGCTCCGGTGGTTCATGGCAAAGCGAGGCAACCACCACCACCACCACCAGCAGCAGCACCACTTGTGCCATCGTGAGCGAGAGGATCGACCCCGACCCAGTCGGTGTGAAGCATGCAGCAGCCACTTCAGTAAGATACTCCTATGTGCGCCTGGATCAGGGACCAAGTGTCAGATGTGCTATAGTGTCGTCTGTACAAAGTGCATTGTGGCCAAGAAGATCGCCCTGGACGTGCCCGACACTGGCGCTGTCCAGCAAGGCACGTTCAACTTCTGCCTGAACTGCTTCATGGCAGCGAAGCAACAGTCGAGCTCGGACGTGCTCCGCAGCAGCGTTGCGAGCTCCTCGTTGAAGCGTGCAACGATTTCGTCGCCGACGTCAATGCCTCGACCGCGATTCGTCTCGCAGAACGCACTGTACACACTGGACGGTCATTTGCATGCGTCACGTTCGTCAGACGCTCGAAGTGCGCTGCAGGTCCAGAAGGACGCAATGAATGCCTCGTTGGCCAAAGTGCCAGCGACCCTGTACAAATCAAGAAGGGGTCTCAATGACCACGCGACAATACCGCATCGGGCAAAGGGGTCACGCGGTCTGGGCAACAGCTTTGCGTAACGAGAGGAATCGACAGCGATGCAAATTGTAAGCACGAGGAAGTGCCTATCGAGACGTAGCGTACGTCGTCTGCAAACTATGATCGAGAGGCTATTTACTGTAGTAGACGTACACACTGCGTTCGTGCAGTGGTTAGCAATGCGATAGTAAGTCTGTTGCGTCCATTTGGTAAACAAGTTACAGCAAGTCGTGTCCGTGTCCTTCTCGATCCGACGCTTCAACTGGCCACGTACTGCACTTGCCAAACTACTAATCAACAGCGCATATCAATGAACGCGCATCGAGTCCGTGCTGTCATTTCCTACTACAACAGCACAAGCGGTTGGCTCTCGTCTGGATCGCCAGCCGACTGTGGTCGGTCCCTGTTCCAGGAGTATCTATCGCACACGTACTACTGCAACTAAATGCCAACTTCCATCCTGAGGTCACTCCGGCGTTCGGTGCCTTCTGATCCACTGGCTTTTAAGCCGACTACTTACCGCCTGCACAGCACTCAAAGCATCGCTCCTCAGTACAGCCACAACGTCTGTCGTGCGTTCGGTTGTCTGTGTACGTTTTCGCTGCTCGGCCGACTGACGTTTCGCGTTGCTGGCGCCGGGCGACGCCCCGACCGGGCGGGACGAAACAGCCATATGGACTCGCTGCAGCTTTGCTGCCAACGACCGCCAGTGACGCAGAGCCAGAGGTTGGCAGCCGTTGTAACTGTGTCCGTCTGCTAACCGTACAGCTACACGAGCGGTAGGACGAAGAAGAAGAAGACGAGAAACGCCGCTATTGTCATGAGCTACTGACGAAAACAAAAGGTGTCAACATGTACCCACGCACAGGACGGACGTCCTGCAGCCACGTTCGTGTCTTTGTTTCCAGTGCGACTCTGTGCGTATCGGGCCAAAACACACACACACACACTGCTTTGACCTCATTGACAACCGTCAAGCGGACCACGTGGTCTACTCGAGGCCACTGGCACTCAACAGGAGGTCAAGACAGCTGCGTGGCATTTATGGCCAACGCACTGGGAAGAAGGCAGTCGGAGCATTTGCTCGTGCCCTGTTGTCATCACTTCCGTTGGTAGCCGCGAAAGTTTCACGTCGCGAAACACAGACAGACAGACAGACAGACAGATCGATCGACAGACGCAGCTGAGGAGGCGGAGGAGAACGAGGAGGACGACGACGACGATGTCGACGGCCAAAACGTCGGCGCGACCCGGCGGTCTTTCTGCAGTCCGTGCGTTCCAACAACGTTCGACGCACGGGATGTGGCGTCGACCGCTGCCATCGTCAGTGGTTGGGGCCAGTCCACGACAAGTCGACCGAGAGGAATATCCAGTCGCGCAGCCTGCAGCAGCGATCGAGCGACCGATCAGCCAAACAGACAGCGACAGAGGTGTGTGTGTGTGTACGTGTACGTGTCCCTCCTGTGTCTCCCCCGCTAGTAGACCAACACGTGTGTCACAATCTGTGCAACTACTACCAGACACATACAATCGTCTCGACCGCCGAAAATCTCGGCACATTCCGTAGCATACAAGCGCAAGTCAGTTCGAAACCCACAACCACACACAAAACAAGACAAAAACTCGCCCCCCCTCCTCCTCCATGTCCGAAACCCTTTGGAATGTTTGCCCTCTCTCTCTCTCGCGCGCGCACGCGGCTCGACAACGACTTGCGCTATGGCTCCCAATCGCTTCCTTTCCATCATTACAAGCGGTTGCCACCGACGCTGTCGCCCGTCGACGCGCTACGTCTCGACAAAGTCCCTCTGTCCCTCTCTCACTCACTCTCTCATTCGATCGATCGATTCAAAGACACCCCCCACCTGCATCGATGAAAGTCGTGCCCGTCGTTCTTCTCGCCGCACTGGCTGTCTCGAGTGTCTCCGGGGCCACAACGAGCCCCAGCACGACACCTACTGAGCCTATTGCTACTACGGCTACGGCTACGGCCCCTACCCGAGATCCGACCAGGACCACGTCCGCGACCACGACCACTGATCCGACCACGACCGGTGCGGCTCCTGTTGTTTCCCCACCGGCAGTGGAAGAGGAGGGACTGGTAAACTCGGCGACCGCATCGACCGACGTGGACTCGACGTTAACAGTGCCAAAGGGGTCGGCGGCGGCAGACGACCTCTTGGCCTCGAGCAACAACTCGTCGTCCCTTTTGCTCGACGAGACGGTCCTGACCTCGGGCTCGGGCAACGACACAACGTCCGACTCGTCGACTGCTGCGATGCTCGACGACGAGGAAGGGGCGGACTTGGACGCGGCGTCCGCGTCAAGGGACACCACACCCACAGTAGACGACGACGGCACGGCGCAGACGGGTTCGGACGCGGGCCCTGACGGCAAAGGAGGGGGTGCAATTGCGCCCCGTCTCGTCCCACTGCCGTCGAGTTCCTCGGACGCGGTCCCGCACCTGACGGCAGCAATGGGCTCTGCCGCAGCTGTTGCTATTGCTGTTGGGGCGTATTTCCTATAGACGCGACACGAAGAGGTCTCTGCAGCGCGCGTTCCCTCTCGCTCTCTCCCGAGCGGCTGCGCCTACGCGAAGGGCTGTGTACGGACCGCCCGTGACATTGAGCGCACGTACCACTCACTGGCCGTACCATCAACACGTATGTGTTTCTTTCTTCTTTCTTTCTGTCGTTCTTCCTTCGCGTTTGTTGTTGAGCGATTTCGTACGCTATGGTCTCGAGATGAGCGAGTGCCGTCGTGAAGGACGTTCTTGTGTAGGTCCCGTGTGTGTGTGTACGTGGGGGAAGTATGGCGTAAACGACGTTAGTAGTAGACGAAAGACGTGGTGATTGACGCCGTGCCCCGAATGGTTTATTGCTGCAGAAAAAGCCAGCAAAGTATCCATTGAGTCTACTTTGGGTGAAGGACTGCTGCGACTCAGCGTTCTTGCCACCGTTTGTAACGGGGCAGCCCGTTACATGGAAGTGTCACTTTTAAGAAAGTGACAATAAAGAATATTATGTTGAATATTCTTTGAACAATATCACCGATAGTGGTGATATTGGTGAGGCGACCAAAGGGTCTGCTCATTGGTTGATATCGTCATGATATCAAACCACCAATCGCCGCAGGACGCGCGCAATGAGTGGTGACGAGAAGTCACCATACACTCAGTTATATTAACATAATTAAGTCAGGTTAAACAGAGAGACAGTAGCAAAAAGACTTAATTATATTAATACAACAGTTTTACTTTTCCCTTACCTACGCTTCCTCGTTTGCCTCGTGTACGCTTGTCGGTACACGATACCCTTGCGTTAAGTTCACGCAAGGGTGTGCCCCGTTACACCTGGTAGCACTTTGTAGTCCTTCCAAGGACCATAGCATCCAACATGAACATGTTGGATGATGAAGAAACCTTTCACGCCACGCGTGAAGGGTTTAACCATTTGAGTGACATCGAATGGAGTGCGGTAGAACGAATGAGTTCTACCGTAGGCGAGTTTGCCATTAGCGCCATCTTGGAGTCTCTAGACAGATACCAACAACATGCCGTTATAGCCAAGTTCATATAAAGTGAACTTGTCGCCGAAAGGGAGAAGGTAGCCTTGCTTCACCCGCAATGCTCTCAACAGGCCGAGCAGTTGAGAGAACTTGGTGCTCAACAGATAGAGCTGTTGGAGACAGCAGCAATTCCATGCTGCTGTGGGCGGGACGGCACATGCGCGTCGTCCCGAAGTCATGAAGGTTGACATCTCCAAGTACAGTGGAGTCCCGAAAGACTCCCTGTTACTGTGGTTTGTCGAACTCGACAGATCCTTAAGGGCTCGTCGCGTCGAAGATGAGCAAATGAAACTCACATTTGCTCAGAACCACTTGGCAGGGCGTGCCAAAACTTGGTCCCTGGGACTCGAGAGTAGCGACCCAAATGTGTTTAGGTCGCTAGATGACTTCAAGTCCCGGCTCAGACAAACGTTTGAGCCGCCACGTGCTGAGTTCAGGGCTCGCTCAGAGTTACTGAAACTCAAGCAGGGTAAGCGTGATGTGCACGCTTACGTTCAGCATATACGACTCCTAGCGAGTAGTATAACTGCTAACCCAGTTTATGAACACACGTTGATTACGGTGTTCGTGCAAGGTCTCGCAGAAGGGCCCGTCAGGAGCCACCTATTCCGCCTTGAGCTGAATACGCTAGACGATGCGATATCAGCCGCGGAACAGGAAGAATTTAGCATGAGACAGGCTCATGCTAGCTCAAACTCTTATCGTCCACCGAGACGACAAAAGATCGGAGGTCCAGAACCAGTGGACCTCTGCTATCTTGATAGCAAGAGACCTCGCTCTACAAACAACAAGCGATTGCTGAAGTGCAATCGCTGTCAGAAGTTAGGGCACTACGCATATGAGTGTAGTGCTCCACGCCCAGTACCAAGCAGTACTGAGCGAAATAAACGACCATTCTCCAAGAAGGGCAATGGGCGTGGGTCCAGCGCTGTTGCGAAGCCGCAACAGCGAGACGGACCATCAAAAAATGGTCGGGGTCAGTAGGGGCGGAGCGCCCTACTGATCCAGCAACCTCAAGAGAATTCTCAAATCTCTTGACGAAAGTTGCTCCAGATACGCAATCGTTGTGTGTCTCTGCACCTGGTGATGACGTTTCGCTCATCATCTTGAAGTTGGAAGCGACAAATGATTTGTCGCTTCGTGCCCTAGTAGACTGTGGGGAGTCGAACAATTTTGTTCGTCGCCAGTCACTAGAGGGTCGTAGGCTCAAGTTCGTTGAGCGCGACATTCCCCTCACGAGGATGACGGTGCGCCTTGCAACAGGCGCATCGATTACCGTTAAGAAACGTGTAGTAGGAATCCACTACACGTTGGAGGGCGAACAGTACGATGATGGCTTCATCGTACTGGATCTGGATAACAAATTCGATGTCATCCTGGGATTACCTTGGCTCAGAAAGTACGAGCCAAGGATGAGCTGGCAGCATCGATCCGTGAAGATGCCTGCCACTTTTTCTTTAGATGGCCATCTGATGAACATCTTGGAGCGTTCACAAGCGTGTGGATGTTCTGCGAATGAGTTCGATGGCCTCACTTGCGGTACGGTCGTTAGCACGACTGCACAAGATCACAGTGTAGTTGATCACTACACTGTGGAGCGAGCTCCCGGCGGCTGTACAGAAGTACAGGCTGCGCCGAAGGTCAACCACTCGAAGAAGTCGAGTGGACCGGGACGTGGATGTACGCCTAGGGGGCGACATCCCAGCAAGAGTAAACCGGTTGCCCACAAGCGGCAACACGGATATCCTAGGTCGACTGGAGAGTCGACCGTAGAGGATCGGTCCCTGACTGTGGTTGCACAGCCACAGTCACAAGACGTCGAGGGAATAAGTCCCCACGTACTTGAGGAAGGAATTCCTCAAGAGTCACTTGCTGAAGGATTAGGCCTTCAGCAACCTGTGGAAAGAAGTTCCCAGGAAGTAACCGAGACGTTGAACGTCTTTGGCTAATGACGGATCAAGCGTAGGCGCTTATACGCTTGATCTGATTGTGCCTCCGAAGTTAACTTCGGAGATAAATCAGTTGCCAACGCTAGAACCGAAACGGTTCTTGCGTGATCTGCGTAGTGGCAAAGTCAAGCAGATCTGTGTACCCGTCACAGAGGATGAGTATGTGTCCGATATTCGGTCGGCGACAGTATTTGCTGAGAACGAGCGGGTTCTCAGCAGCTCATCGATGGATGAAAGTGTCCTCGATGAGAAGACTCGGATTGAGCGATACACGTCTCAATCCTGGGAGTCACTTAAGGCAAATCCTTTGTATAAGGATTTGATAGATATCAAGGACGTATTCCCAGAATCCGTACCTTGCGAGTTGCCTAAGGACAAAGGCACTCGACACGAGATCGAGCTCAAACCGGGCTCGAAGTACTGTGTCATGAAGCAGTGGCCACTGCCTCGTGAACAAGTACTAGCGATCGACAAGTCCTTTGCCGATCGCTTAACAGCGGGCCATGTGAGGGAATCAATATCCCCTCACAGCTCTCCGACCTTCTGTGTACGAAAGTCCACAGGAGGATGGCGGATAGTGCACGCGTTCAACAAGTTGAACGCTGCAACGGTACCGTCTCAGACGCCGATACCGGGGAAGGACGCAATCATAGATGGTGTGTCAAAGAGTACCATCTTTTCGTCCATGGATCTGATGGATGGGTTCTATCAGATCCTCATGCGTGAACGGGACATCCAGTACACAGCAGTGAGCACCCCCAGCGGGATGCTGTGGGAATGGCTAGTGATGTCACAGGGGCTGAGTAATGCCCCTGATACTTTTAACAGATGTGTTGCAAATATGTTGAGACCGGTACGAGACTTTGCACCGAGTTACTTCGACGATGTGTTCGTCCATAGCCGGGCTATGGACGGAAAGACGGACGTTGAAGTTCATAGAAATCGCGTTTGTCAAGTCCTTCAACTTATGCGCAAGAATAAGTTGTACGCAAACCTCAAGAAGTGTATATTCGCGGCTAGCGAAATACCACTTCTTGGGTGCATCGTGGGCAAACACGGCGTACGCCCTGATCCCGAAAAGACCAAGGCAATCACCGACTGGCCAGTGCCAGTCGATGTCAAGGAACTAAGGAAGTTCCTTGAGCTAGCGGCGTACTTGCACAAGTACTCGCGCAACTACGCCGAGATGACTGTTCATCTTTCTTGCTTGCTCAAGAAAAATGTCAAGTGGTCATGGAACGCTGAGTGTCAGCTTTCCTTTGAAGGTATCAAGCAAAATTCGATGCAGTCGCCGATCTTGGCGATTGCAAAACAGGACAGACCATTTCATGTGGTCTGTGATGCCAGCGATTTTGAGATCGGCTGTGCGTAAATGCAATTTGATGCGGATGGCGCAGAGCGCGTCATCTGTTATCAGTCGCGTCAGCTGCAAGCAGCTGAGCGCAATTAATCAGTGCATGATAAGGAATTCCTTGCCATGAAATATGCACTGGCTAATTTTCGCGTCTATCTCTTGGGAGATAGACCGTTTGTTGTCTATACGGACCGTGCGTCATTACGCACGGCCGTAAACAGCCCACACCTCTCGCAAAGAATGGCGAGGTGGCTGTCTTTCTTCGCGGAGTATAAATTCTCCGTGGAGTATAAACCAGGACGACTAAACGTCGTCGCTGATGCGCTCTCGCGCCGGCCCGATTTCGGGCCGGACGCACAATTCAACAGTGAGGATAAGCCCACTGTTCCGACACTGTCAGTCAGTGTTCCGTCGTCAATCTTACTTGACGACGTACGAAAGGCATTCGCGGAAGATAAGGATCTTCTGCGATTGATAGATCATCTAGTGAATCCATACAGTAAATCCATGAGGGATTTACCCGCTTTGTACCGATCCTCATCGGATCGGTATAGTACACGCAACGGATTGCTGTAATATACAGCTGTTGCCGACGATACGCCTCGTGTCGTCGTACCCGCTCATCATGACTTGCGTTTAAGCGTCATGTATGAGTGT